ATAGACTTACCTCCACGTGGTGCATCCTGGGCAAAGTGTACTCATACGGCAAAAAAAGTCTATTATTCGGCAGATGACTTCTGACTTCAAATGACCATCGCCCCACTGTATGTCAAATTCCACCACTTCCACAGCAATCACCTCACCTTTTTTTCTACATTTGTGTCTGACTCTTTTACATCTTTGAAAAACTCTTCTGTTCCCTACCCCCCCCCCCTCCTCTCGACTTTTTTCACTTTGACGTTTCCTCCCATCTGTGAAGCCTGAAGTCAATTAAAGGGCTAATGATAACTATCAAAACGCCTGTCATTTGACATAAACAAATATTAAACGAACATTTCTAAGTCAGTAAAAACACGTAAGAGTGATTGAATAGCAAATTTCATCAAGGATTCCCGATTGCTTAAAGGTTCAATATGCAATAAGAATACTTTGAAAATAATAGCTACTTTAAAGAGCATCAGAACCCAAACCTGAAGAGAAATCAAACAAACCAAATAGGACGAATGTTGCCGCAACTCTAACTCCTTATTCAACTAATGTTAACGTTTATTCGTTCCAAACCAATGAACTCATGACAAGAGACAGTCAAAATTTCAATTGCGATAGAAATATCCACATTTGCGCCAAGAAACTATCAGGTCTCAAATTAAAATTGGGCTAAAAGAACCCGACAAAACACTTAAGCTTACTGCAACCTGGCTAATAATAACAATAGATTAAAATGCTATAGAAATCAGCCAGCAAATAGCAGAAAACAACGTGCTTCTAAGTTTAAAAGGGTGTAGAGCCAACATTTTGAGAAGTAAAGCCGAGGTTGCTCAAACGAAATATTGAGGAAAGCGAATTTCTCACTAGAGCCAGTTGGTCCACACACACACACTTCTTACAACTTGCGAGGACTGCAAAAACAGCAATATCGACAATAAAACGGATCAACTCCAGGAATTCTGGATTGTATGGAGCAAATATTTGTTGTGAGAGACTTACAAGAAGAGCCTCGGTATTTATATATAATAGTTGTACATATAAATAGACAATCCACTGGGTTTTTTGATATCACTAGAAAAGCGAATACCACTTCTCCGTTTTGGCAAAACTAATAATAAAAAGAACGATTCCCCCATAACAATATCCAGAAATTTGAATGTTCAACGACCTCCCAGGTTATTGGCCCTTATGAAAACAGTCACCCAAGAGGAAATATGATGATTCATTACAATAGTAAACGATCAGATCGACACAAAGAACGTCAAAAGCTACTTAACGAAATCAAAGCTGCGCTTAACCGTGAATGAGTTTCATAACGAAATTTAAAAAAAAAACTGGAAGAATGTTATGCAAAATTCGAATTTTAAATAAATCCACATTAAACTACTATTATTAATATTTTTCCAAAGTCTCACTTGGAGTAAGATCGTTGAATTCCTCAGTGCCCGTAAAGGTAAACATGCCCCCGATAATTATTTCCTTCTTGACATTCCAGCCCTCAGTCCACTCTCGCCACACATCTGTCCGCATTCGCAACCACCGACAGGCGAGTTCCCGGTAACGAGCTCGAAATTGGCGCTCTTTTCCATTTTTCACTGCTTCTGAGTAGTTGAGCATATCGGGAGTCACCTACAAAGTGGATAAAGATGAGAATAAAAGTCATATGCTCAACAACTACATTCGTCTTGCGGTGTTTCCCAAAAACATTCTTCTGGAGTAGAGTCTACTTACTCTCAATTTCACTATTAAATACTGAATACTGGATATTTCAGTTTTAAAATTTCCGTTAACTTTGCAATAACGCATCCTTCTACAAACACACTCTACCCTGTAACTAAGCATAACTCAACTATCTCCCTGTTCTCCCCTAATAACTGCACTCTCAATGCATCCATCCAGTACTAATTAATGCGTCCGAATAGAAATAATTTGGCAAGACTAATTAAGCCAAATTAAGTTCAGCCTGTCATTAATGGGTGATATAGTCACTGTATTGGGTTAATGGCAGTGCTTGAATGTACAACAACTGGAACTGAAAGTAGTGAAAGCCATCAGTCGGTATCAAGTTCATTCTCTATGGCGCAGTAAATCAGCGGAACAGATACGCAGGAGAAACGAACCACCATGTTTAAAATAGAATAGGCTCAGGGAAAAGTTTTTTCCCCTTAACCAGACGAATGAAGACTAATGGAATAGGAGTGAATAAACATATTAAAAGAATAATTCGCTAAAACATTCCTTTTCGTTCACTAAACAACTTGCGAGTATTACACTAAAATTCAGAAAAAAATTTTTGTTAAATGAATTTATTGAGAAAGAAGATTCGCTTTTCTTAAGATGATGGGACAGCAATCCAATTGCCAATGTCCCTGAGTTTTGAAGAGTAAACAAAACAGGGACAACCAGAGCGGCGCAAGACCATCTGCAAGGAGGGGAGAGCGTGGGACAAACCAATCAACATATGGGCTAGAGGTGGGGAGTAGGCGGGGAGGGGGGGGGGTTAATAGCTCAATTAAAATTATCGTTTCCTCACCATCCCCTTGCAGAAGGAAAAAAATTACCAATGTACAAGGTCATCCATTAGCTCGAAGAAACAATTTCCTTTTATAACATTAGTTCTAATATAAAATGGACAAAATAATAAAATGTCAATATTGTCAAGTAAAAAAAAATTTCCATAATTTTCCCCCTTTCAAATTACTTCTTGGCAAGTTAAAACAAAGTGAGAATTAATGGAGCAGTAAAGTGGAGTGTTGTGCCATGAAATTCCCAACAAATGGTGCGTACCAAGATAGTATCTACCTCTCTAAATTTAATTGTGAACAAATTTCTTAACACTCTTGAGAATTTTTCAGGTACCACAACTGGAAAAAGTGACCAGACTATTTCCGATTCCCAAAAATTGCGGAACGCAGAGAAGAGAGGATCCAAAGTGCTACTGTTCGCAGAAAAGAAAGCGAAGGACCTCTGTGAACTAGAGTTCAAAGGAGGAGAGGTTGTAACCAACCCCGTGATATATTAGAATTCTAATCCACAACCTCCAGATTCTAACCCATAAGGATGTTCACTTGCTGGCCATAAAAAGAAGTTTTACAAATAAAGGAATGAAATCAATTTAGGAGCGTGCAAGGAATTGTCTACAAAGCGATAAAAGTGGAATTAAGAAGTGGGAGTAGAAGCTTACCGATTTCCCCTCCAAGTGGGAGAAAAAAACGTGGCATGGAAATTTTGTATTGGACAACGCCTTTCTGGGTAAACGTGATTTAAGAAGAAAAAGAAAAGGGGCGACATTATCACAAAGTTGAAAAAAAAGGAAAAAAATATTTTAAAATAAAAAACACAATATTGCGGACTTTTCACGCAAACAACTCAAAGTCGAATGGGAAACTCGAAAATAAGATGAGAACACATGGATTCGATTAAAGTGCAAATAGGTAGGAAGAAAGGGAGGAGGGTATCGGGATTAAATAAATCCTGAGCATTTTTATTCAATAGAAATGCTACTTCGTATCATCAATCATATCTCTTCTTTTTGGCCAACTACACCATGTTGAATAGAACTCGACTAGACTGTATTTTACTGCTCTTGTTAGTTGCGGAGCTGATCTTATCGTACCCAGGAGCGAGCAGACAAATTAAGCAAATCGAATAAAAAAAAGAGAGCATGCCTACAAAATAGACGGCTATCGGTAGAGCACCTTCCTAATCTAATTATAAACCACTTTCACTCAATATCTCTGAGATGAATTAAATTAGAATCATGTAATGGACATTTACAACAATTGCCAGAAATAATTGGAAGACAATTTATTTTTAGCAATCATAGTTTCATGGTTGAAAAACCACTTCTAGGTCCACGCTGAAAATATAGCAACTCATTTTCATGAACTTACCAATAAACTAGACATAACAAATAAATTCTCAAGTTCACTAAGCAGATTTTTTTAAATGTGGAATAACACCCCCCAATTCCCATTTGATACACACGGCCTTTTGTAAATGGTATATGCAGATATAGCTCTAGATGTGAAGCTTACTAGTTGTGCATCTCCATTAAAATTATTTACTAAAATAACATTTTCATGAGTTGGACGCGATTGTACGGTACGTACATTTGTAATCGTGGGGAGGACATTAGCTCTTATTAACCTCAACTCCGTTTCCGATAAGGAGGCTTTCCATCAGGCTACAATCTGCTGTACTCTGTAAGAATGCAGCCTAATCTGGTGGTGCTCTAATTCTTCTCCGACACCCCACCCCACTCCACTCCCACCCTTTCCTCCCATTATTCCATTTACATAATCGATTCTACATTCCCCACCTTTTACTACCTATGTTTTTAGGTGCTTTAAACTATCCCAGTAAATAAGCAGAAAGTAATTATTTGAGTTAGCTAGAATGTAATAGAGCGATTATTCATGACTTGTTGATAAAGGCAATAAAGAAAATAGTAAAAGGTCCACGCGCTTGCTATTCGTTTCTTTGTTACATGGCAGAAAGCCGTTAAATTAACAATGGAACTATACAAGTCGTCAGATATTTACCCCAAACCCTTTTCATTCTCCCCAAGATTAACAATGCTAACGCACACAACGGGCACACAGAACGCACAACTGGCACATATTTCCGGTACTGATGATAGTGATAGCTTGTTCCGTCTTGCCTGAATTTGCGTAGCCAACGTCAAGAGCTAACTATTTGCGGTTTGCCAAGAAGAGAAGAGGCAAAAAATGCCTGGAATTTGATAAACAATGTGATTGCGAGAAAAAAAGGTCCAAATATGGCAGCATTGCCCACTACAAATTGATCCTGAACTGGTATTGTGGGCACCTTATCAACTAGCCTTAAAAATTAATGATTAAATGCATAAATACGCTTGGACTGGGAGAGGGAAAGTAATATGAAAGCAACCGCTTCAAATCACTAATAATCGATGACCTCCAAATCTCTCCTGTTTAAAAAACGCGTTTCATATATCAGCTTTGAGCGTGATTGGAAAAGTGAAATGCTAGCTCATTTCTCCATAGTATTAAAATGGATAGGCGTAAAAGCCCTCGGTACAGAGCAAATTTTTGCTCGCACTGATTTCTAAGCGTCTTAACAACCGAACGTAGTTTACTCCTTAATTAGTCAATTAACTAGGTATTTCATTCACACCTGCCAAGCACGCAACAATGATGTATGCTCTTCAATCCCTTTCACCCGTTGGCACATTAGAATCCTTTTTCCCAATCTATAGAATCTATGAAGGACTCCTTAAAGTTCTCGAAACTCTAAATATCAATAGCAAAACAATGGGAATAATCCATTCTCATGGTAAGTGTTTGAAGCTGATAAATTAAGTCAATCATATTTTTAGAATTAAGCTTCAGGAAGCTTGACTATATTGGAATCAAATTAACTTCCACAATCCGGACCGTACCTTGGATATTAGAAAAAGTTAATTTAAAGTAGATGGCCTGTCATATAAATTTATTAATTGGCCAGCGAGCACAAACAAGAATTCGTTTACGAAATGGAAATTAAATCCCAGAATATAGCAAATAAGATAGGGGTCCATACACCGAAAATCAAAAAGAATACAACCTGATTCTAGAGAGTAAATAATGGTAAAACTTTTTAGATATCAAAAATAAATTTTAAACGTCAACTCGAACAGCTCTCCTTGACTGATTAAAAGCTTGAATGCGTACAACGATAGAAAACTGCATATTTCGCGTTGCCGTTGGTAAGGAATAAATTGCACTGTCTGCAATTTCTGGACAAGTGGATTCTCGATATTGGCAAACGACTTACCTCCACATGGTGCACCCTGGGCAACGCATTCTCATACGGCAAAAAAGTCTATTAGCCGGCAGTTGACTTCTCACTTCAAACCACCATCACCCCACTCGATGTCATATTCCACTACTTCCACAGTAATCACCTCACCTTTTTTTCTACCTTTGCGTCTGTTTCTTTTACATCTTTGAAACACTTCTCTTCCCTCCCCCCCCTCTCTCTCTCGACTTTTTTCACTTTGATTTTCCTTCCCCTCTATGAAACCTGAAATCAACTAAAGGGCTAATGATAACTATTATTTATATCAAATGGCAGGCGTTTTGTTGGTTATCATTAGCCCTTTAGTTGACTTCAGGCTTCACAGAGGGAAGAACATCAAAGTGAAAAAAAGTCGAGAGGAGGGGAACTGAAGAGTGTTTCAAAAACGAGGGTTGAAAATTTAGAAAAAATGTGATGTAGTACTGTGGAAGTGGTCGAATATGTCATACAGTGGGGTCATGATAGTTTGAAGTCAACTGCCGGTTAATAGACTTTTTTTGCCGTATGAGTATACGTTGCCCAGGATCCACCACGTGGAGGTAAGTCTATTGCACACTCCATGATAACTATCATAAAGCCTGCCATTTGATATAAATATTGGCAAACGCCCCGTCCGGGCCTCCTACCAACAGAGCTCCTTGTACTCAAACAAGCACATACTGGGAAAGTGAAATGTTGCCAAGACATGGCATCTGGGCCTTTGTGAGCAATTTGAATGCATTTCTTTCCATAACCTTCAATTTAGAGATTTGTACTCCATTAATTCGATTATTGGCAAACACTGAATTAACATTTTGAAAAGATAAATAGCTTGAAATTTGGACACTCATAACTTGTCTATTCGATCTAAAAACATTTGAAGTGAATGGGTGAAGATGGAGCCAGTTTAGAAGAATTTGCCACTCAGAGTTCTTAAATTCATCGATAACAGAAATGGCAACTAAACGTGTAAATTATAGTTCTCCGCTTAACCTCAGGTTTAAATTTTCACCTGCAAAATTTTCTCCCTTTGTAACTAAGTTATCGAGACAACAGCAAACGCTCTCACACCCAACTAATCCAGGAAATTTAAATGGAATGATTTTAACATTGCGCTGAGAACACCATTTTCGCAAATTCCACCCCCCCCCCCCCCTAAATTCACCGAGAGAAATGGCCTGATTTTCCCTTTTTCAATTGGACACCAATATTGGCATTTTTCAACCTATAACCACTTAGAAGATGATTCCTAATCGCGAAATATTACCGTGCATTACAGTTACGCATTCAGGATACACAAAAACGCGAATTGCTTAGCCCCCTCAAAGTAAAACCCGTGGCGTATATGAATCACCATAATAATAAAATGTCAAATTTTACTGCAAAGGCAAGTCAGATTTGGTTTTCAAATTATCACCTTACTTCCTTAAGGTGTTTCAAGCATATTACATTAACTCTGTCAATTTGTGACTCGGGTTATTTTATTAAACTCAAGGGTTTGGTTTATTAATTATATAATCAGTCTAAAAATAGCTATCAGAGTGACTTGAATTCAACTCCTTTTGGTGTAGATATTTATACACTATTGTGACTGTACATCTTATTTAGACTTCACCTTGGTCATTTAATCAATGAATTTCGGAAACTCTTGAAGTACCAACAGATGGAGGATTCGAGTAGACTATTAGTTCAGATGATGGAAGAAAATTAATTATTTAAGTACAGCTGAGATATTTATGACTGATTGGCTATCTGGTAGAGGTGAGGATACGAGTCACAAACGAGGGCACGAACGCTAGTTAATAAGTCCAGTTGCCTGAAAACTTCTATCCATCCTACTCAGGAAATCGAAAAAATTTGACACTGTCTTATCGCGGCACCATATCTTGATTTGGGATAAAAGGGATGATGTGTTGTCCCCACTACAAAAGAGACAATCTGTGGGCGACCTGACATTATGGCACCAAGTCACATGCCGATGCAGACAGGCACAATTCTTCTTCAGTTATGTGTGCCTTTAAGAACCTCTACTCGCTGTCTGGTCACTTCAAGTGATTAATAACTCACTAAGTGCACTTGAATGTCTGTGTACCTTTACAAAGCGACAAAGATGAACGTGGGGATTATTTTTAGGGGCAATGCTTAAAATACATACACATGTTGCAAAATAGTGTTTACGCGTGGCCACCTACACACACTAATTACTACATGTCACGGTACTCATAATTTATTTTAGCAGAGAAACATTTGGCTGGAGTTGCTAATAGTCACATTTTTATATTAATGAATCCTGGGACTCAATTAACAAAGTAATTAGTTTCCAAGGGAGGATGAAATACACAAGAGAAATGATCATCGGATAGTTAAAGAGACGGAAAACATCAATTAACAGACATTTATTGTATCTAATGCTATAAAACGAAAGATTGGGGATTTTGGAATGAAGCTACTAGAGTATCACAATGCAACTTATACGGTAGGAAGCGGATGAAGGTGAATGACTCAACAGCATACAGAACTTTTGTAGAAAACATGTAGAAAATATGCGCTTTGAGAATTCGGCGCCACTATTCGCGCAAGTAGCATGCTTTCCGATCCCATCAAATGTGCAGAAATTTTCGTTTAAAGGAAGCAGTTCACCAAATCGGTTCTGAGTAAAATATTAAAATTAAAGAGATTGATCAAAAGTCCCTCCCCCCCCCCCCATACTCAATCCGTTCAGGGAAGGCGCAAGCAATTATGAGTGGAGTCTTACAAGCTTCGAAAAACTACAGCAATGTTGCAATTTTTCGCTATCTGGATACACGGATTTCGGGCGTGGAATAAAAGTATGTTGATATACAAACAACGGACACAGTTGTACCTAAGACATAATTTCAGGATCACAAAAAATGAGGCAATGCATGCTTTGAACTCGTCATTTCTTCTCAAGAAATATCCATCCTTGAGCCTAGCAAGTTAGGAGAACGCGGAAGGACTTGCATTAAGCACATTTTCTTTATCAAAAGAGTCTTGGTGGAAAGCCAAACATATTCTGAAAGGACATTATTGCTCGGCTCAAATCGAAGGGGGAAATACGCAGGTACAAAAGGGTCTAATATTAGTTTCCTTAAATAGAAAAAAAAGTGGAAATCAAAAAGTCGCTCGTTCTTTAAATCGGCATCATTTATTCGAATGAAGAGAAATTTGGGTACAACGCCACCGGTAGACAAAAAAATAGTACGCGCGAGGATGACTCACGGCCCGGTCACGTGACATCCCAGAAATGTAGTAGTACGATGCTGTATGCAATCCCCTCCCTATCATGGACAGTGTATCATATCCCTCTGTGTATTCTGAAACATTCTTGCCTGGACAACATGCGATAGAAATTGTTCGGCTTATCGAACATGTATTTCCTATATTTTCTTTTTGGCGGGAACAAAATCTCACCATTCCCAATTTGCAATCAATTTACATATATCCCAATTGCCATGTAAGCAACTTTCCCTTATATACTCTTCTTTCCCATGGCAAAGCAAACAAGCGCAACAACTTAGTGTCGTTGGGAAAGATCAAAAGAAATAAAAAAGAGGAGGCTAGTTTAGATCGAAGGGAGAATAAGGGTAATATGAATGGATCAAGGAATCGGAGAATATAATCTCGTATAGACTGAAGGAACATCAAGTCAACGTCTTTTTAGCTTAAATTCGGAAGAGGAGATTTACCCTACCATCACTTTCTACAAAGGACATGATTTCACAGCCAATCCGTTTCGCACAATTTACACAACCCCATTTGTAGGGAAGTCACCAGCTACCACTTCATTAAACAAGCAGCAATACCACAGTAACAGCTGGTGCTTCAATTACAATCAAAACAGGTACGAACTGACAAGCATCCATTTAACAAGTCAGAACAATCTCAAACATGCATTTAACACACCCAAATGCGAAATGAGTATTTGGCTCGGTGTCTCGGTGGGTCTTCCCTCACAGCATACACTCCCTCCCCTCCCCTCGCCCCCCCCCCCCCCACGCCCACTCAGACCAAAGAACAGTGATCCCGATTCCATCCACATACACACACACCGCCCACTTCAACACCTTAAACTTGAGCCAAATTAAATATTCCTCATTAGGAGACAAAGGGCGGTTATGACAAGCACATGGCACTATATGTATCCTGAAATCGAGCAACCGTGGTTATAAAAACACAAGCCCAAATGTGGTGGTCGATATTTGGCACAATTTAAACAACGCTTTGCGGTTATACAAACAAGTAATCCGATCCTAGAAACATTCACAGTCAAAACGTGGATTCTTTACAAGAAGAATAGGTGTAACTTCAGTCAGATTTGAAATATGATAAAACTCCTTTTTCCAATAACTGGTTTAAGATAAGTGGGTAGAAAAGCAAGTCCTAAAAACACCCCACCGAGACGGACCAATTGAAACGACATTCCATATCCAAACAGAGAGATAATCCAAAGCAAAATAGCTTACGGCCAACAACACATGGAAATCGAGACAGGGTTGAAACCAGAGGATTCTTTTAAGAATAACAACGGACTAAAAGTTATATTTATGAGGGTGAGATAACAATCATAGGGATATCAGCTAAATAGGCCATCATATCTGTGAATCTACTTCCGCTTTTTGGCCAAGCAACAACCAACACGCTTGATCACTTAATGAACGTCGATAAATTCCAGACTCATGAGCTTCAACTATACAGACTTGAGTGCTGTGATTACCGTTTGACAACGGCAGATGTCCCAGTCTATGCAAAGTATACTCATGGCAAGAGTCTATAAGCCACCAGTTGACTTCTGACTTCAAACTACCATGACCCCACTGTACGGTAGTTGACTTCTGACTTCAAAGACAAAAAAGTCTATTGATCGGCAGTTGACTTCTGACTTGCAAAAAGTCTATTGATCGGCAGTTGACTTCTGACTTCAAACTACCATCACCCCACTCTATATCATATTCGACTATTTTTACAGTACTCACCTCACCTTTGTCCATATTCGACCATTTCACAGTACTCACCTCACCTTTTTTCTTAAATTCGACCACTTCAACAGTACTCATCTTACCTTTTCTCTTCGACTTCTGACTTCAAACTACCATGACCCCACTGTATGTCACGTCCGACCACTTCCACAGTACTCATTTCACATTTCCTTTTTTTCTACCTTTGTGTCTGTCTCTTATACATCTGTGAATCACTCTCCTGTTCACTCCCTGGACTTTTATGACTTCGATGTTCCTAATCTTTGTGAAGCCCGAGGTCAACTAAAGGGATAATGATAACTATCATAAAGCCTGACATTTGATATAAATACCCTTTAGTCGACAATTTTTCAATTCCCGGTATGAGATCACTTTCCTACTTATTTACGAAGTACATCTTTCGATGTTTAAAGAAACACTTTCCCACTAGGAGCGGAAAAATAGCCGAATTAAGGGATAACAGGGATAAGAAACCGAGTAGATATATGGAGTTAGGAGAATAAACGAGTCTTGCTTCACTTGAATTTTGGATTGGAGACAGATACTTGAACATACTTCCTTTAGTCCTCATTTCAAATTACTCGCTCCGATGTTAAGGTTTAATTATAACAGGTAAGGTGTGGAGCAGGTAAGGCATGTCGATTCACTTGGGGGCTTTTTTCCAATAACAAAAAATTATTTGCAAAATGAGACTAGCTCACTCCAAGTAATGGAGATTTTGCTAAGTTTTCTGAACTGACAACAGCTTTTCTTGAATATGAACCCACGACAACAAGCGGATCCAGTCTCACATACAAGAAGAAAAACTCGATCATGATAAAAAGGTAAGGTAATTAGTGGCAGTTGTTGCTAGAGATGAAAAAGTAAAGAAGTAAACAAGGTCAAGCTCACCCTTCGCAGAAGATCAATATAATCCGCTTGTTTGATGTTGAATTTGTCTAGCAGTTGTTTGATAAGAGGAGCCGATTCAGCCAAACCTGACCAAGAAACTTTTACAAGTTCATTGACCTCAAAATCACAGGTGGCGCTCACAGTGACATTCTCGGGTGGATGAGCTCTCAAGGCCAAACAATCTGGAAGTCCAAGACGAACTAGTCGCGATTTGATAGTTAGAGCATTAGGATACCAATTTAGAAGGATTGGGGGACGTTCATTGGCTTTAGAGCTGATAATTGAGGTGATATTCCAAAGTGATTGAGTTGGCAGATGCTCTGAACGTAAATCCGTTAGAGTAACTCCAACATCAGAGAGCAGTCGACGGTAAGCATTCAACATGGATGGACGATCGTAGTAAAGAATACCGCCGCCACCACCACTTCCTTCCAGGGACCCATTGACCGAACTGACAGAGGAAGGTGTGAGATCTCGATTAAGCTGGTTTGAGAAAAAAAACATGAGATGTATATAATACAAAGGAATAAGATGCAGGTATTGTAGTCTTAGTCTTATCTCTCTATTAACAATTATAATGATCAAACTGCTTCTAATATTCAAAATGAAAAGAAAACCGTTCAAGCAGAAAACTGGCTCAGAAACTTCCTTTCTAAATTACTAGCTAATGCATGCAAAGGGATGTTTCGGTTTCAACTGAGTAAATACTTCATGTGTGTGTTGTAAAATCTTTGAACTAAACACTGTTTTACCATGGTAAAACGAAGTGGCTTGTTCGAAGAACATTGATCAATGATTTAGCTTGATCTTCCTTTCTATTTTCAACTTTATTACATGGAATTAATGATAATCTGTAGCCACACAGAGAGATAGACAGTTAGGAGTGAAGCGTGTCCAAAAATTTTGAAATATTTATTTATATCAAATGCCAGGCGGTTTGATGGTTATC